GATTTTCAATACCCTGTTATTTTGGCATGTTTCGACCGGTAGACATGTCAATGTTGGAGGAATTTCTGTCGGACAAATTTAAATCGGCATTTGCAACAAAATTTCCAGTTACTTAAGCTAAAAATAAAAGATGTGGTCTTGACTTTTCAAGACCCCGGGAAATTGCCATGTTTTTGGACTTTTCCGAGTGGAAAAGTGGAGGAATCGAGAAAAGTCGCAGAGGAAAAATGTGGTAGACTCGTCAAAACGAAGCTCCTCAGAAGTTATAAAGTATGGTAATCAACTTTCCAGAGGGGGCCTGTACTGTGGACTATAATGTTATAGCAAACTAAAAGCTTAATAAATTAATAATGACGAAACGCTAATTTGACATTTCTTAAAAATATTCGTATTTAACAGACAAATGTTGACAGTAGCCTACTAGGTAATGTATTAAAGAAATAAAAAATACGCGTTAAGATGTTTTATTTTTTTTGCATCAAAACAGCGCCCCATACGAAGAAAAGGCAAGAGAGATTTTTTGTCACAAATTGAACGAGGAATTCAAAAATGGTTTTTAATTCGTAATATCTCCACTGAGATATTACAAATTAAATTAAAAAATGGTACGCCACTGCGTACAGAAATGCAATTATTGGTTTCTGTTTTTATTTAATACAGCTGAACTATGTTCAAAACTTACATTAGTTTTGCATCAAAAATATGATAATACTGCATACTATCTATGGAAAAGTTTTGTTTCACAATTTCTACATTTTTTTTCTCAGTTATGAGTAAAAAAAAGCCGCACCGTCCATCTTCGCCATATAAACCTATGTTAAAATGAACAAATTTCAACAACAATATCTCAAAATCTAGATTCAAAAAAAATTTCAAAAAAATATGACGCACAGAGGGAGCACTGGGTAATACGCTATATAAATTTTAAGTACATCTGTGCATTTGAGTAAACCCGAAATACCTCCTTAAAGAAGATTTTAATGGAACAATAATATTATTCTGGCCTACTCTGTCTTAGCTTGTAATTTTTTTTTGACTATTGACATTATTATCATTATTATACGAAAGCTTTTTTTTTATTAGTTCAACTTATACTAGAATTTCACCAACCGAAAATCTTCCAATTACTTTCCTGTCGTGTATATTCTGCCGGATGCGCCAATGTCAATATTTTTAATACTTAGATTTTTCTACATAAAATTAAACAATTCTCAGTCAAACAAAAATCATTATTTCCATGTATATATCTGTCACTGTTGTGAAATTAAAGTTGACTGTTCTGTCCCTTAACAATAATTAAACTGTATGGTGGCGGATACATTTTAGAAACAAATTGAACTAATATAACGAGGTTTAGGTATCTCATAAAAATAGAATGTGACGGTGGAGATTGCCGGGACAATTTGCAAGAAAGTCTCGGATTCGGTTAAGTGATTCGCAAATAATAACGTCACCGTTCCCAAAGAATTTAATAATGAGATTGTTAGAAAAAAGTAAAATACGAAAGGTCTCAGGAGCTTTCTCGGGCATCTTACAGCAGGGTACCCCGCAGAATTTTCTGTTGGAACTCCATCAGTCTTCCAGGTCATTCACGACTATTTTAATTATAATCTAAATAATTTTGATGTCCATGTTATAACTTTTTGAGCGAATGAATGAGTGTCCATTGGTTATAATTTTATTTAGAAAATGATCTGATATTTTTATTACGTTTCCACTGTTTAGCGATCTTGATTAGTTATCCAAGTCAAGGTTTTAGTGGGCTAAAGATCAATAAATAAAAGAATACTATATTTTAAATCATTGCCAACGTTTCGGTGTTATTTTACATCCTCAGGGCTCTAAAATACAATGTTTTTTATAAAATTCGTTAAGGTATTAAAATAATTTAAAAAATAAGTACATTTACAGTAATTCTAAATAATTGTTCCTGTCACAATTGCACTCACCGAAATTTGAAGTGTATTTTTTCCAACTTAACAGTTCTAAATATTAAGAAGATGGTATCTAGATACTTATATGTGTACTTATAATTTGTCATGAATTATAAGAATTTATTTATTTAAAAATGTCAGTTTCAAATATAAGTTCTAAATTGCTTGTATTTGGTTCTTTTACTGTGGGGTTATTTGGGTAAATATGTTTTCCAAATACATATCACAACTATGAGTTAAATATGAGTGTCCATTTTTTCTGTGTGGTTATTGCAATTAAAGTGCAATGTGTTTTCTAAATCCATGTCATAACTTCATGAGTGAGTGTCTACTGGTTTTAATTAGAAAATGTTAAAAAATGTCAGTTTCAAATGTAGTTCTAAATTTTTTCTATTTGATTCTTTTACTGGAGGGTTATTTGGATAAATATACAAGATGTTTTCCAAATCCATAACATAACTATGAGTGAAATATGAGTATTTATTGGTTACAATTTATTTAGAACCTGTTCAAACTTATAAATTTCAAAAATAAGATCTAATACATTTATATCTGGTCTTTTTTCTGTGTGGTTATTTCGATAAAAATTCAATGTGGTTTCTAAGTTCTAAGTGCTTCTCGAGTGAGTAAAATCGTGAGTGCCCATGCATTGAGTACAATTTTAATTAGGAAACGTTCAAATATGTCAATATAAAAAATAAGTTCTAATTATTTTTGTATCCTGTCTTTGTAATATGTAGTTATGGCGATAAATATATAGGGTGTTTCTTCATAACCTCGTGAGTGAGTGCGAAAACGAGTGTTTTTAAGTTACAATTTTAATTAAAGCACGTTAAAAAATGTTAGAGTTTTTATGCTTGGTCTGTTTTCCTCGTGGTTATTTCGATAAATATACTTTTTCTAAATCTGTGTCATACCGTCATGAGTGAGTGAAAAAGTGAGTGTGACTTAGTTATACCCTTAGAGTATATACTACTAGAGGCAGCGTCCCAGTGGCCAAGAGTCTAGCGCGATTGCATGTCGCAAGAGAGAGACAGCATATCCACTCCTATACTTCTCTCTCTCTCTAAACATCCGCTACACTCTCGGCCACTGAGACGCCGCCTCCAGTAGTGTATATATGCTCTAAGGTTATACCTACATTTATTTAATAAAAATGTCAGTTTCAATAATATAATGAATGAGACCATTTAATAGGCTAGCTAGATCTTTAGGCCTTATGAAATCTAACTTCCTCTTGTGGGAATTATAACAGATAAAACTTAATATTTGCCTCCCACTATAATGCAAGATATAAAAAATTTTATATCCAAAGATTGCAAAAACATTATAACCAGAATTCATATAAATACTCATATGGTATTATAAAATAACCAATATTACTTGTCTCTGTCTTCTCTCTGCTGAGCCGAATGACCATAGATGTCACTAACTTTATTATGATATTTGGTATTAATTATATGCAACCAACTAGACAGAAAACTAAATTTATATTTGCCTATAACATAAAATATTTTAGAGGTATTATATTCACCAATCACAGACTCTTAAAAAAGTCACTCATAAATGTCAGGAAGCGATTCATTTGTCAAAATTTGTAATTTTTCAAAAACAACAAAAATCCATTACAAAATCATAACCAAGCAATAAAATGTCTATACAAGCAAGTAAGGTCCTTACAAAAACCATACAACAGTCACAAAACAAGTAAGTTTTCTTTCTAACCTAAATTTTCATAATGTTTGAGATTCGCAAGTATTCCAAAAACCTCATCATATTTTTAGACTATGGAATTCGAGCAGATGTATTGGACAATGCTTAACCAAACAATACTCATCTACGGAATGGTCAAACTTAAATGAACCGCCGAGAAAAAAAGTTACCAATATGCCACCAATGAATGAACCGGTAAGAGGTCTCCCGAAACCTATCTATGCGAATTTTAAGGAAGATAATCAGAAAACCAGAGTGACTGTTTTACCTAATGGACTTACCGTAGCCTCGGAAAATAGATTTGGAGAATTCTGTACAGTGGGAGGTTTGTAAAACTCTTTATATATGTGCAAAATGTTCAACCCTTCTATTTTAGTTGTAATCGACTCTGGATCCAGATACGAAGTTGCATATCCGAGTGGTATATCACATTTTCTAGAAAAGTTAGCTTTCAATGTAAGTACAAATCCCTTGAAAGATCTTAGATTTAAAGTGAAAAATTGTTTGCAGTCTACAAAATACTATCCAGACCGGGACGAAATAATCAACAAATTAGAAAAACATGGAGGGATATGCGATAGTCAAGCGTCCAGGGACACTTTTATATACGCGGCTTCTGCATATACCTCTGGTCTTGGTGACGTTATTCAGCTCCTTTCAGAAGCAACACTGAGACCTCAGATCACTGCCGAAGAAGTCGATGCAGCGAGACAAGCAATTCACTTTGAACTGGAAACATTAAACATGCGTCCAGAGCAAGAAACACTGCTTATGGATATGATACATGCCGTAAGAATTTTATTTTTACTAATATCTTTATTTACAGACACCCTTGAATAGCGGATATCTCTAAATAATTTACAATTTTGTTTTCACGGGATTTTATGATGAGGTTTTCTTAAAATTACAGAATTTTAATAAGTAATTCTTTATAAAACAGACGTGGACATAATGTTTTCAACAGGACAAGAAAATATATGTAAAATTAACTGTTAATAGCAGGCAGGTGAGATGGCAGTGTATTAACTAACTTAAGATAATTTTTTATTTCTCATTTCTGCAAAAATAATTTAATTTTGACGAAACTTGGTGAAAGTATACCTTTATGTGTCTTAAATAACCACAAATTTTTTTAGATAAAAAAATCTAGAAGTCTTCGAGATACTCATTTTTTCCGGTCTGAAACTCTTTTTTTTTTCAAAGAAAAATTCTTCTTAAAAAAATCATCGTACAGAGTTCTGCCGGTGATAATTTTTTTTTTGTTTTGACAAATACTTTTTGGTGAAATAAAAAAATCTGTAATCACAGTTCAAAAATATGCTCAAAAATGCAAAAAAAAAATAAAAAATGACTTGCAACAATGAATTTCTCAGTAATTATTGATAATTTGTTTAAAATAAAAAAAATTCAAAAACTGATTACACCATTCAATTCTACTGAAAAAAATACAAAAAAACCTGTGTCTCATTGACTCAAAACTTTAATTTTGTACAGTATTGCTATAAACATCCAAGTCGAATTACAAATGTACAAATGATAAATTATCTCTGGATGATTTCAGATTTCAGCAATACAAAGTATTCACTGTAAAGTGACGCAAAATCCGAAAACTAGAAAGTTTGTAAAATCATTTAAATTTTCTTCTGGGTTTATTTGAAAACGAATTTTAAAATAAATTGCATATTTACATTGCCACTTTTTTCGCTCTGTCCAATGGCATCAACATTTTTTGCAATCCGACGTTTCGTCTTCGAGGCGCCATCATCAGGTTAATTTTTTTAAATACGTCGCTACTTTTATGACAAAATCTAGTCATTTTTAATTCCGATTTAGATGATATTACCAAGTAATCGACTTAAAAAGGTTTTTAGCTGTCATTTAAAATTTTTCCTAAGTACATCTCTGAACGCTTTCAAAATATCTATTGGAGGAAGTCATAACAGTATAAAAGTCAATACAGCATAAAATATCCAACAAGTTTTTTTAATCAATAATTTAAAAAGTTGTACCTAATAAAAAAATAATACGAATTTATGAAATGTTTTATTTCTAATTAGTATTGCTAATAGTAGTAAAAAAAATTATTGGATATTTTGTGCGGTATTGACTTTTATACTGATTGACTTCATCCAATAGATATTTTGAAAGCATTCAGAGCTGTACTCAGAAAAATGTTTAAATAATAGCTAAAACAAGCTAAAAACTTTTTAAGCGATTACAATGGTAATATCATCTAATTCAGAATTAAAAACGACTTTAGTCATAACAATAGCAGCGACATATTTAAAAAAATTAACTTGATGATGGCCCCTCGAAGACGAAACGTCGGATTGCAAAAATGTTGACCCCATTGAATAGAGTGAAAAAAGTGGCGTTATATGCAATTTATTTTAAAATTCGTTTTCAAATAAAGCCAGAAAAAATTTAATTTTGCAAAATTTCCGGTTTTTCGGATATCTCTGGAACTACCCGGAATTTTAAAACTTTCTAAACGGCATATGGTTAGGTATAAAAAACAACTTTTTTCTAATCTGAGCCACCCCATATCTCTTACCGTTTCCTAGATCCTAATGCTATCCCATCCTTATCTTGGACACACTGTTTATCTATGAACTCATCAAAATTAAAAAAATATATAAGGACACTAATCGATCCTACGGAAAGAAATTATTATTTATTTTATTTATTCACTATTCTTATGTTTATAGCAATACTGCACAAAAGTCTTGGGTCAAACATTGAAACAGTTTTTTTTGGATTTTTTCCGTACAATTGAATGGTATAATCAGTTTTTGAATGTTTTTTTAAATTTAAACAAATTATCAACAATTACCTACTGAAAAATTCATTGTTGCAAATAATTTTTAATTTTTTTGCATTTTCGAGGACGTTTTTGAACTGTGGTTACAGATTTTTTTATTTCACCAAAAAGTATATGTCAAAATGAAAAAAATTATTACCGGCAGAACTCTGTACGATGATTTTTCTAGGTAAATTTTTTCTTGAAAAAAAAATGTTTCAGACCGGAAAAAATGAATATCACGGAAACTTCTTAATTTTTTTTTTCTAAAAAAAATTGTGGTTATTTAAGACACAGAAAGGTATACTTTTACCAAGTTTCGTCAAAATTAAATTATTTTTGCGGAAATTAGAAATAAAAAATGAAAAATCAGAAAAAAACCTGTTTTTCTCATTTTTCTCGGAAATTTTGAGGTTATCTTAAAAAGTGACTTCTACAAAAGTTGTAGATTTTTGCATGATATGCAACTTTTGTATTGGATACTTTTTTGTTTGACGTCAACTTTTGCCAGAAATCCCAATGATACAATTTTTCACAACATTTCAACCACCCAAATCGACCTTCCGCAGCCCCTGCTCAAGCATTTTTTTTTATTTCGTTTATTATAAGCCCCTTTACCATTTCCACTTATAAAAGTCCAGGTAACATTTTTTTTTTCCCATCTAAATGAGTTATTTCGATCGGTTTATGTTATGAAGTTTGAAAATATAATTTTCTGTCAAATTAAAATTTAATTAAAAAAAAGTATCAGTCAATTTTGAAAAACAAATATTTTTTTACTCTTGCAAGAAATTATTGACAAAACATGATTTTTTCTCTGTATGCAATTTTATTTTTTATGCATATTGATAGTTATGTAATAAGCTTCATTTTAATATTTTATTTTACGTGAAATAAAATGAAATCTGTCGTTTTTTCAGACAGGTTTTATCTCTGTGCAGCAGATATTTTAGGATTCCCCTTGGGTATCCACCATTAAGAGGTTATCCTGTATGAATAAATGTCAATTTTTACAGAAAACTTATCTTATTTGCAGGCAGCTTATCGCGATAATACGTTGGGTCTGCCAAAACTATGCCCCCCACAAAACTTAAATAAAATAGACAGGGACATGTTATTCACGTATCTCGACCAACATTACACTCCGAAGAGAATGGTGATAGCAGGTGTCGGAGTTGAACACTTCAAGCTCGTGGATGCCGTTCAAAAGTACTTCGTCGATGTTAAACCATTGTGGGAAACGGAAACTGAATTGGAGAATAGGAAAAATTTGGGCTGCGATCGTAGTCTCGCGCAGTACACGGGAGGTATGGTACAGGTATGTATTTTATTTATTTACATATTTATTTTACAATCCTCTTTATAATAAATCAGTTGCGGTATAGGTAGCGGTAAAAATATACAAATAAAATATACAGGTTTTTAGAGTATACCATTTATGAGTGTTCCTCCTATATTTTTTTAATCAAATAATTAGTCAAGTTATGGTTTGCCTTTTAAAGTACACTTAAAACTCTTATCTACTTGCTAATATGATAGATTTGAAATCTTTTTTAAATCATTGCAAGTTTTTAATAAAAAGTATGTTACTATTGTTTTAAATCACTGTGTTTAGTTTGTGAATCTCAGTGTCAATGACCTCTGACAGAGTCTTAATTGACTGTCAATGACCTCTGACAGTCTTAGTTGAGTAAAAACGAAACAAATTTTTTTTAGGAAAAATCCTCGAACAAATCAACTTTTAATTTAAAAAATATATATTTTAGCATAAAAGGTTATTTTCATCCGTCATTTGTTTTCGAGTAATGACGTCATCGACATTTTTTTTAAATAGCAACCCCCAATTTTTTTTCTTGATTCTGAAAGATCGTTTCATTGTCGATCCGACAGTATTAAAATGTTGCCATCTTACATAGGAAAGTTTTCGAGTAAATGACGATTGAATGTTAGAAAACCTAAATTTTATTCATTAAAAAAATAACAATTCCTATGTCAAGCAAATACAATTCATTAAGTTTTCTACCTAAATTAAGTGTTCGAATTGCTACCCACCGACTTCTTAACAATATGCAAGTCTGTGTAGAAATTCTTCTTGCACATTATGAATTATTTCTGGGGTAACTCTGTGTATTTCATCTATAATACAATTTTGGAGTTCTTCTAAATTATGTGGTCTATTAACGTACACTTTGGATTTTAAGCAGCCCCTTAAGAAATAGCCCAAGGGTGTAAGATCTGGGGATCTCGCGGGTCATTCTATCGGTCCTCATCTGCCGATCCATCTCCTAGGAAAACAATTGTCCAGAAAATCTCGAACAGGGCGTGCATAGTGCGGAAGTGCACCGTCTTGCTGAAACCATATGGTGTCATCAGGAATATCAGGGTCATTATCGTTAGGAAAAATTACTGCAAGCGCACAAGGTCATTTTGTAAAAACTCTAAATATCTTTTTCCTGTAAGGGTTCCTTCAAAGAAGAAAGACCCTACTATTCTGTTGTCAACTATTCCAGCCCACACATTTAATTTCTGTGGGTGTTGGGTATGTGTTTCTGCCATCCAATGAGGATTTTCCCGACTCCAATACCTGCAAGTGTGACGGTTCACTGTACCATTGAGACAAAACGTGGCCTCATCCGAAATAAGTATTTGCCGGTGTAAATCTTTATTTACTTGACATAAATCCATCATAATTTCACAAAAGTGTAAGCAGCGGTCGGGATCGTCCTCATTGAGTTCCTTCACAAGTTGAATTTTGTAGGGATGATATTTTTCCTGCCTCAGGATACGTAGCAGTGTGGTCTGACCAATTTCATTGTTTAATGCAACCAATCCTGAAGTATTATGAGGATTATCTACCATACTTATCAAAATGTTCTGTTTGTGATCTTCACTAACGCTTGGACGTCCAGGTTTTGGAATATCTACAACATTGCCAATTTCTCTAAATTTAGATTATACCTTACTGACTGTTGATTGGCTGATACGGCGATTTGGATGTTTTTCATTAAATAAATCGCAAACTTCCTGCTACGTTCTAGTTTTATCCCCGCATCCGATAAGAATTAAAATTTCAATTCTTTGTGTGACAGTTAAATGTGCCATATTGGCTGATTTTACTTTTATTAAGTAGCAAGTGCAGGTAAGAAGTGCAGGTGTTAAGTGATAAGTAAAATCAAAGTGTAAACGCTCACGCTGTTAAGTGATTAGTGCAAGTGTGAAGTGCGAGTGCAAAGTAAAGTGAATAGAAGCACGGTCTGTTTTCTCTGTTAAGTAGCTAACCCCGCACACCCGCGTACTCCCCGCAATCGTAGCGCCGCCCAAACGTGGCCCGCCCGAACTACACTATTAACTGTTTGACAAGAACTATATATAGCATCACAGATTTTAGGAATCATCAACGATAAAGCTGCTTTGGATAATCTAAATAGATGCGAAAGAGTGCGTAAGCTGCATCCCGTATTAATCATATAGGTACATAAATATTTGTAGTTTAATTTTTCAAGATAATGCACTTCTCATAAATGTATCCGATTTTGCTATAGTTGGTCCAACAATAGTCAGCAACTCATTTTTATCTTCCGTCATTCGCATTGAATTACAAAATTCAGTTGGATCCTCATTAATCAGCTCCTGGAAAAGCTTATTATTACCTCCATACTGAAGTCTTCTGCTTATCCATTTTCTTTGCTATAATCTTTTAGGTTGCTCGATTTCAACAATTCATGTTTGATTTCTGATGCGATGACTGCAACTGTCTTTTTTAAAATGTTTCGCAATAATTCTAATCGTTGTTCGTCCTCCATTCTGTACCGACAACTTTGGACTTAACACTTAACACCATAAAAACATGTTAACTAATCACTTCTCACCTGCACTTGTTACTTCACAAAATGTAAATCAGCCATAATACTTTAAATTCAACAATAATTTTTATATTGCTTACAATACTTAGAATGCAGTATGACAGTGACACTTTAGGTCTGTTCCAACAAGAGTCAGGGATTGGATCCAAACCGTCAGAAATGTGCATCCAACTAATTCCTGCGATATATTCACTGAAGAGACATTTAGAACTTAGCTGGCCAAACATTTCAAACGGTTTGGAACCAATCCCTAACTCTTGTTGGAACAGACCTTTTGTAAAGATTTACATGTACGTGATCTATAAAAAACTTCAGGCATTTCGAAAAACTAAATTTGATAAGGTTTTTGCTTTATTTTAATTGATTTGGCTTTTCTAACATTCATTCGTCATTTACTCGAAAACTTTCCTATGTAAGATGGCAACATTTTAATACTGTCGGATCGACAATGAAACGATCTTTCAGAATCAAGAAAAAAATAGGGGGTTGCTATTTAAAAAAAATGTTGATGACGTCATTACTCGAAAACAAATGACGGTTGAAAATCTCCTTTTATGCTAAAATATGTATTTTTTAAATGAAAAATCGACCTGTTCGAGGATTTTTCCCAAAAAAAATTTGTTTAATTTTTACTGAATTTTTCCACACTTTAGGCACATACTGTATAATATCAATGCACTCATGTTATCCAGGGTGTTCCTAAATAAGTGTCGCAATGAAAACTGTAAATTCCTCTTGAAAAAAGAAACATTTTTTTCCTCTTCCATTTTTCTCTCCAGGCTGTCGTTTTCGAGATATGTCAAAACTTCTTCAGTGTATTCGTTCCAGATTTATCTAAATTTATTTAGATTTCTTTATTTATTGAATTATCGTACACTATAAGTGTCGTTAGTCCCTGTGAAATCCACCTAGTTATTTAAACTATTACCACGACGTGTTGCAATAAAACATTTATTATTATTAACTATTACGATCACTTACATACATAATTCAATAAGTGGCTGCGTCAAAATTAAAACATCATTGCAATTTTAATTTTATTATGACAAATTAATTCTTAAAAATGCATATGAACAACCAAAACGCCAAATGAATATTATTCTTTAAAAAATTTCAGTAAACATTTTCGTTTTGGCAAAGGTTAAAAATGAAGATCTGCGTAATATTATCGGAATTTATTATATCTGTAACCGCAACTGCGAAAGAGCATGTTAGATGTATTTGTATGAATATCCTGAAAAAAATAGATTGGAATTTGTTTGAATTTTGAGCACTCGAGAAGCCTAGAAATAACTATGGACACATTAATAAAACTCTAATAACGTTTTGTTTTAATGCGTGGTGGTAATTGTTTAAATAACTAGATGGATTTCACAGGGTCTAACGACCTTACAGTGTATGATAATTCAATAAACAAAGAAATTAAATAAAAAATTTTGATAAATTTGGAACGAATACACTGAAGATGAATTTTTCGAGACAAAACGTCTGAATCTGGTTCAGGCTGAGGCAGTACAGTATTGGGAGTCACGAAGGCTTACAAAAAATGTAAAAAAATTTTCAGGGTCGTATTTAAAAAAATGAAGTTGATGATGGTCCTGGAGAGACGAAACGTTACATATAAAAATTGATTATGCCATTCGATAGAGGGCAAAAAGTGGCAATGAGAAAGTGTTCTTCTTTTTTCAATATCACCTCAAATAAGGCTGAAATTTAACCAAAACGGATTTCCAGAATTTCGTTTTGTTTTCAAATATTTCGAGAACTAATCATGTTAGCCTTGATTTTTTAGAGGCATAATGTTGATCCCCTGATTACGCAACTTTGCCCCCGTTTAAGCTACTTCGTACCTCTTACCGTTTCCGAGATCCCTGTAGTGAGAAGCAAATTTGTAACAGCCTAGAAAAATGTAGAAATGTTAATTTCTTAAAAATATGTTTTTTAATTTTTTGGTGATGGAATTAGTTAATTTAAATCAGTAATTTTGTTTGGTAACTTAAATGGGGTCAAAATGAAAAAAGAAAAAATTCAGGTATCATATTTTCATCCTGTGATGTAATTAAAAAGTTGTGAAACACATCTTTAATCGTGTATAACTGGCTATATTCAAAATGCAAACTTTTTGCAGGAAGAATGTGATATTCCCCAGTTCGCTTCTGCTGGGCTGCCTGTTCTGTCGCACATTATGATAGGTCTAGAAAGCTGTTCCCACCAGGACAAAGATTTTATCGCTATGTGCGTCCTGAACATGATGATGGGCGGCGGCGGTTCTTTTAGCGCGGGAGGACCTGGGAAAGGGATGTACACCAGACTATACACTAATGTTCTAAATAGGTGAGTTTATTTTATCCTCTTATTTGCGATTCTCCAGGAAAATGATTTACTGTTACGGAATATTTTTATTCTTAGGTACCACTGGATGTATAGCGCCACCGCTTACAATCACGCTTACTCGGACACGGGTCTTTTCTGCATTCACGCGAGTGCGCCCCCAACGCACGTCCGTGATATGGTGGAAGTTATTGTTAAGGAGATGGTAAACATGGCGGGAAATGTGTCCGATCAGGAATTGAGGGTAATGGAAAAATGTTGTTTTCTTTTCCTTCACTTTTTTTTAAGTAACTTTGACTTAATTCATAATTTTTTCATTATAATGCATAATTTAGTGACAAGTGTGACAGACCTCTTTGTGATTCTGGCTGCTAGATATACAGGGTGATTCAGGACTTGACCAGAAAAAAAAATTGTGGATGTTCAGGGGACTCTTACGAATACAATTTTGTAAAGAAAAAATCAAAAAGGGCAGTTCGAAAATGGTTTAAAAATACACTTCTGCACGGCACTGGAAACTGATAAAAATGCACAAAAACTTTTGCAAGGAAAGAAATAAATAGAATTTTATAGCACCTATTTTATATTGGCAAATTCAACTGCTTTTGCGGCTATTATTATTAATTAATTAAATTAATTAGTGGTTTTAAATAATAAAATAATTTGACATACCTAACGTTACAACAACTATTCAAAATTTTGTCCACCGACGTATAAACACATTTGGGTCCGTCTTATTCAGTTTCTACGAACTAACACAGATGTTGTCTTGCCTTACCATAACACAAATGCTTCACCATAAATTAAAACGATATCAATCAACCCCAAGTTACTATACACGCAAGCTATTTTTTACACTAACTACTAAAAAACTATTGTAAACAGTCAGATTTCAATATTCGGAGTCGCTGAGGCCACATGGCTCTCCACGCATATTGCGAATGACGCTAGAGACAACAGTTGTCCAGCTATGTAATGGTTGAAAGTACTATAACTTTAATAATTTTTTTCTCAGAAACTTTTTTAAGATTTTGAGTCCATTTCTCATTCCACATCTATTCCCAAATTTTTTTGGATCACCCTGTATAAACTTAATATCTGAAATAAAAATGTTCTTTTGTCCCTTTTGCACTCTAAAAAATTGTAATTACTTTATTTTGTAAAAATGATACGTATTAAAAAACCACAATGGGTGAACATAGACAGCGGAAAAATAGGTAAATTTTAGGAATTATCTCAAAACCTACTTGCTTGTCCACCTAGAAGTCCGGACTTCAATCCTCTTGATTTTTCTTTTTGGTCTTGAATGAAAGATATGGTTTATAAAGAATCTATTGGTTCGTGTGAAGAGTTGTGCCAAAGAATACGAATCGCTGCCAGCGAAGTCAGACGCAATCCCAATATGTTGTTTCAAACCTGAAGACATCACAGAAAACGTTGTGTAAAGTGTATCAGGGTCAACGGTGGGTTCTTTGAACAATTATTACTTTAAATCATTATTACGTATTTCATTTGTTTTATCATTAATTGTTGTAATAACATGCAGAAACACTTTGTTTCCCTTTTAATTTCTCGTATTATCAAAATATAGTGTTCGTTAAATCGATTTTTCTCGAAAACGGATCGAGATACTGAAATGAAACAAGAGTACATAATAGTCCAAGCATTCTGTCACGGATTAATGTTAAATTTGCAGAAATTATTACCTGGACAAAAAAAATATGACCGTATAGAAAATTAAATTTTAAATTGAGTTTCTTGTTCTTTAAACTCGATCCAATATGGCGAACATGGTTAAAAAAAATCGCAAAGTTGAAAAAAACGGTTTTTCTAAAATAACTAAAAAAATATAGCACGGATTGAAAAATTTTAAATGAGAAAGTTGTAGGTTTTAAAAAGATCTATCGACTGATTTTTTGAAAGTATCGATTGCTTTGTTACTTTTCGAGATATATCGAAAAAACCGTTAAAAATCTTCTCTTTTCTCTTCTTCTATAACTCGTTTACATTTACGTGCCCATATTTGCTATTTACTGCAAGCATAGCCCGCGGCAAGCCAAAAAAGTACATTTTTGAAAAATTTAAAAATATTAATTATTTTTCGAGATATATCGATTTTTTGAAAAAAAGGCGCTCTCGAAAATTGGCTAGATCTTCTCAGCGGATAGCCCTACAGTAACGATTTTCGGTTTATTTTCTTCGTAAAGAGTTATATTATCATGCTGTTAAAAAATGTTGACGATTTTATTAATTTTAAGGATCAAAAAATGACTGAAAAAGTTGCACTTTTTTTGGGTATGTTTTTTTCAAATAACTATTTCAATTTTTATTATTTTTTTGTACTTAATCTGGGGTAGCTAAACACGAATATTATAGCATTTTCGCCTTAGAAGCAAAATAGACCCGTAAATGTTTAGTTTTCTTTCTTTAAAAGTCATTTTCATAAAATAAAAATTGAAATAGTAATTTGAAAAAAACATACCCAAAAAAGTGCAACTTATTCAAAGTCATTTTTTGATCCTTAAAATTAATAAAATCGTCAACATTTTTTAACAGCATGATAATATAACTCTTTACGAAGAAAATAAACCGAAAATCGTTACTGTAGGGCTATCCGCTGAGAAGATCTAGCCAATTTTCGAGAGCGCCTTTTTTTCAAAAAATCGATATATCTCGAAAAATAATTAATATTTTTAAATTTTTCAAAAATGTACTTTTTTGGCTTGCCGCGGGCTATGCTTGCAGTAAATAGCAAATATGGGCACGTAAATGTAAACGAGTTATAGAAGAAGAGAAAAGAGAAGATTTTTAACGGTTTTTTCGATATATCTCGAAAAGTAACAAAGCAATCGATACTTTCAAAAAATCAGTCGATAGATCTTTTTAAAACCTACAACTTTCTCATTTAAAATTTTTCAATCCGTGCTATATTTTTTTAGTTATTTTAGAAAAACCGTTTTTTTCAACTTTGCGATTTTTTTTAACCATGTTCGCCATATTGGATCGAGTTTAAAGAACAAGAAACTCAATTTAAAATTTAATTTTCTATACGGTCATATTTTTTTTGTCCAGGTAATAATTTCTGTAAGCATTTCTCTATAATGCTTGGGCTAATAATTAATGGAAAAATTATTGCTCTTTCAGGTTTTGAATCAAGTTTCATATTAGATATACAGGGTAAAAAATTATTAACTAAATTTTCCGTGAAATTGGTCGTAAGTGGCGCCCTCTATGACCAACGCTGAAATTGCAACACGCATCTTATATATAGTCTCCCAAATTTTCAAGTTCCTAACCTTTCAGTTTCAGAATAATTGCAAAAAAAAACGATTTAAAATTTTTACTTTCAACACCCTGTATTTCCGAAACTATCAACTTTCGGATAAGGCATGTTTGCGCCAATGGTCACCATTTCACGTGTAGTATCTTCAGCTTACGATTTTCCCATTGTTAATGAATCACCCTGTATATCGACTGGGAGCACTGCTGTTATGGCTAGCGTAAAAAATGTCGCTCGCTTGCATGGTCTATGGTTCCCAAGATTACATATAGTCGGTTGATCTGAAACAAGAATTTCAAAAAATTCTCTAAATGTAATGTTTGAAACCCTTTGCAATGTAGGATTTAAAAGAAAAAATTAGTTTACATGAAATGGTGGTCGATTGAATTTTGCTTTCACTTTTCAATCTTAATTTCCGACCTTTCTGGCTTGATAATAAAAAAATAATTAAGTGAAACAAAATTAAGTAGAAAACCTGTTCGAAAATATTGTATTCAATTTTGGAAGCATTTGGTTGAGCCGTTTCCGAATATTTTGGGAACGTTCGCTGAATTAGTCATGTTTCGAGACAATCGCATTTGAACTTTGGCAAAGAATTGACGCTCATGAGAAGTTGATCGCTCGTCAGCTTCTCGGTAAATCGCCCATAACATTTACAGTTCTTGGAATATCAAGATCAACATTTCCATACAATATTCTTCATATTCCAAACTCGGAGAGTTTTTTTTTGGTAACTCAATATTTGTTAAAAAATTCATAACTACATAATATTATTTTTTACTTTAACGTTAATCTGCAATTTTTGAACAATAGAATAAGCCCTACGTAGCACTAGCACATCTTCTGCAGCGATCCGTGACTGCCTTTGCCGAATCCTCCTTTCACGGGTCGCTTTGTAAGTTTTAACTTTGGCGGTACGCATGCATTCCGTATCTTCGATCTCGTAATCCTGATCAGCGTTTCTTCCTACCTTGATGCCTAATACATTCCAGTATATTGCTCATAACTTCCACAATTATTGGAATTTCAATATGAAATATGGCACACAGTGTTCTTAAGACTACAAACTTTAAGATGATACAAAAATTTAAAAAAAAAACACTTTTTCCCCCTTAAATTAAAATAGCACACAATGCATGTACTGACTTCTGTTACTTATGATTAAATACTGACTAAATCGTTGGTAGTGACATCAATAAACAGTGGTGCATCAAATATGTGAAATTTCATTCATTAATTTTTAGAGAGCAAAGACACAGTTGCAGTCCATGCTTCTGATGAATTTGGAATCGAGGCCCGTCATGTTCGAAGACATCGGAAGGCAAGTTTTAGCTACGGGCCATCGGAAGAGGCCAAAGTATTTTATTGATGAAATCGGTGAGTTTTAAAAGTACAAACGATTATACAACATGTTTGATATTTTTGGAAAGCTCCTAATTTGACCAGTCTAAAAGATATAATTTTTTTTTTTTTGTTTTTTTTGGAAAGTTTCTAAGCTTTTAAGTTATTTTTAAAATGTCATTTACTTTGAAATTACGGTTTATTAACTTTTTCTTTCAGAAAAAATAACAAAAGATGACATTATATCAGTAGCGAGACGACTATTGAGTTCACAGCCTGCTGTGGCGGCAAGGGGGGATCTACGGAAGATGCCTTCCCTAGAATACATCCAAGCCGGTTTAATCGACAGCGAAGGCAAAATGCCGAGCGGCAGGAAACTGTCTTTATTTAGGTAAAACAATAGCAAGCACTAAATGTTTTTTTAAATGATCTTGCAAGGATTTTACATTATTTATTAAGAGATCTTTCTCGTGCCATTATTTCCATATGTAGTTTACATTATGTAACTTGTGGAATATTGGCAGGAACTTACTGTACTGATAGTGGTTACTCTTGTATATATTTTTTTGTAATAAGAATTGTAAAACATATTTCAAGTGGTTTCATTTATTACCGAGTGTCTATCTACATCATCAAAAAAACTTAACGTATTTTTGAAAAATTTTATTGTGTTCTATAGCAGTCAAAGATTAAATAAAGTATAATATTTTTTATATTGAAGAGGCACTTAAAAATACTCGGATACTTGCTGAAAGTACTCTACTACTTTTAGTTCTTGATATTTGCTATGCTACCTAGCAAATATCGTGCGAGATTCTGAGTTCTAGAATGGCGGAAATATTCAAATGAATTGATATCAATCTATAACACATGAATTTTTATTTGTGGCGCCATCTTTGGGTTAGTCTCAGAACTTTTTGACCGTTTAATAAGAATGGGATACGGCGCCATCTATTTAGAAAGAGCTCAATTAACTCACGAGTGAATGAGTAGCTGTTTCAGTTGGCCGTTAACTGAAATACCTACCTGCTAAATAATTATCCCGTAGTTCAATACAGTTTCTGATCGATAGATGGCAGCGCATAAAAATTAGGGAATAATGCAGCTTGATTGGTCAATCCATAAGAGTAATTACTCATATGGGCCAATCGACACGAGTGAACGTTCCACTTCACTGATTGAAAAAGTAAGGGATGCTAGACAAGGATCACGAACTCATACGGGAAAATTGACAAAATTTGACTATGTAATAGCACATATAGAAATTACTTATAATTTTTACCGCTAGGGTCGCTAGCATTCCTTGTACTCAGATATATTTTCATTATTTTTATTTATCCAATTCAAAGTTGCCTACATAAATTATTTAAAAATTTTTAACACATCACAAAATTGACATGATTGATATTTAATTCGAACTACCGCTTTCTTTATCTGCCCTCCACTATTGAACTTAGGGTGCTGCTCCCCTTGAGTAAAGGAGAGAGCATAGCCCTGGTGGTAATCGATCGCGCTACTGTCTTCGCGATGTGCGTTTTCCGTAAGTCGCCGGTCCATTGTCACGCCTAGGTATCGCGTATGTCGGCCTCAGCTCAGAGACCACCCTGTTTTATAACCAGACTTCGGAACTTGGCCAGTACATGATGTACGATCGAAATTTCCTTTTGTGCTTACATACGCAGATAGTTGCATTAAATTTATTGTGATTATACGAGTATTCAATAAATCCGACACTTTTTCAAAATAATATTGAGTTATATATTTCTCCATAAAAAATTAAATCCAACATTGCCACTTGATCCTAAAGCGACCCACCCAGGCAGGTCCTACCCTATTTTGTGCCCTCAAGGGTACACAACTCCTAAAGTTGCCATACACAACAAAGCTCCTAAAGCTTTCCATACAACCTCTCTAAGATGTCTCATACATACATAAACTTTAGTGACTTAGCCCAACACGCAAAATGACAGTGAAAATCAGACACTAGAATATCACACTCGACAGAGTGCTCAATAAATACAGGTGCACACAACATACAAGGTTCGGTCGAAAACCAGCAAGAAGAGCGCCAGAAGAAAGGGTCCTAGCCGGCGTGGCCCAGCCAGGACAAAAGGAGGTCCCACAAAGCGCCTACACCGGCCGCATTTGCGGTCGGGGTAGACGACGGATGGGGCCCACTGACATATTACGAGACTTACAATACACAAACGCTTCACAGACAATAAGACAAAACGCGGAGAAACGGTTTGACGTAGCCGCTAGACATGACAATCCCCTCCTCAGGCAAGCCGTTAACTACGTACCCGACGTGACCGACAAACACAAAAGACCTAGACACCAACTTTTTGACCCTGGGTGACCACCCCAACGACACCCCCCCCCCCCTTGCCCGCTAACCTTTTCTGTTTCAGAGACAGCCAGGATCAAGAAACGAAGACAACGACAAACACACACACACATACACACTCCCCATACCCTCCTTACCCCTCCCCTCCCGCGCTGGGCTAAGGGCCACCTTAGCAAAGCGCATCCCAGGCTGCATAGCCGCACTACCCTACCCAACCATACCACACATAAACATGACACTACCCCCGGGGTTTACACAGACGAGCCGGCGAAGCAAGAAGAGCGCCAGAAGAAAGGGCCCTAGCCGGCGGGGCCCAGCCAGGACAAAAGGAGGTCCCACAAAGCGCCTACACCGGCTGCATTTGCGGTCGGGGTATACGACGGATGGGGCCCACCTACGAAGGCTGTCCAGGCCTACACGAGATGAGGCAGGATAAAGAGGGATAATCCCAGTCGATCCTAAATCATTGAGGCCAATTTCTAGCCATAGAATAATGGCGGCGGCGGCGACTCCTCCATAGCACTAGATAAGACTCCTCAATCCCAAGCAGCCAATGTGTTTGGCGTGAAGGGGGAGACGCCCGAGCACCCTGGAAACACCCTTGTAGATTCCCCAGCACAGCAGGCAAAAATGAAATATGGTACCATTGTTTCATCTTATCCAATAATGAGGGTATATCCTCAGAGTAATAAGTAAAGGGGAGGCCGCATTCCCTATTTCAGTACACAATGTAAACATGTAACCTCAACCTATTGTATGTTGATAAACAAATGATACATAAGTAAACACAATGGTCCCTGGTACACTGGCGTACAGAGTTTAGGTTTAAAATCTACCATAATATAAGGAAACCATAAAAATTACACTTTTTAATAGAATAAAATCAGAAGTGCTCGATTATTTAAGCTTTCATGTGTAATAAATAAACAATAAATAGGAAAAAGTTAACGGTTTCTTCAAAATCTATAATTAATATTTTAAAAACATTTCCAGAACAAAAAAGTGACTAAAGAAAACTCCTCGATTGAAACTATCATTATACTATAGCTATAGCAATGTCATTGCCTACTATTATTTCTATTATTTCATAGTAGTTCTCGATTACTGGAAGAACATTTATTAAAATAAATAATTTAAATAAAACTACAAGGAGCAAAAATATATTTAATTAAAATCTGCTGGAATATAAACAATGCAAAGAAAACAAAACATATTTGTACTAAAAGTAACGGAAAAATGAATTTACATTGAACAACATTTAATCGTATGGGAAAATAAGCATGTTTTAAATGTACGCAACAAAAATAAGCTGAATTTTGAGCTCACAACATTGACAGCTCGTCTCTTATGGAACAGGGACAACATGTGATTGAAGATGTTTTATAGCAACATCTATAAAATTTTCTTCACTAGCAATTTCTCGAAGAGGGAACCTTTGAGACGGCACAACCATTTCATCAACACTGTGCTAAAACGTATTACCTTCCAAATGTTGTATTAATAGGCACAGCTCCATGTGTGACATCGTTTTCCAGTTACTGTTACCTTAATATCTATAGCACGGAAATGCTTCGACAGACATAATTATCCTTTGAAAGATCATATTCAGATATGGCGAAATTTTCTAGCCACACTGCTCGTATCGCAGGATCTTATGGTATTCTACAAATAAACACAGAGCTAGTGTCAGTATCAAAATACAAACATAATAAATTAACAAATAAAATACTTAGGACACCTTACACCCTTGTAAGAACGCCCATGGAAACAATGTCAAACTTACTTGTGAAAAGAAGTAGCACATATTTGGCTCTTTTCCTGTAATTGTCGGCATATTATACGCCGCTTTGGCATTTTTATTGAAATTAGATAAAAAAACAGTTTAAAAAGACACAAAACACTGAACTCGGCTAATATCTATTTCACAACAATAGACTGTAATAATGGCGTCCCCTTTAGAACCGTTTAATACCAGGCAATGATGCCACTTACGGCGTTTGTATTGCTAGGAATTTCAATAATGTATTTTTTTTCATATTCAAAATCTATAATTATAAAACAAGTTGCAAGAAAATAGTGTCGTAGTCTTATGCATATTACAGTGTAACTAATTTGTAAGTCGAAGTCAAGAATGAGGTAGATCCTTGTACGATAATCAATTAAAATGACCGCTGTACCTAGCTATAAAGATAAAAATGTAACATTGGCATCAATGTCAAGGACATCACAAAGTACCAATGTTTGTAAAAACACATATGTCAACACTTCACTATCGAATGTAAATAAAGGCGTCCCCTTTATTTATTAGTCTGAGGGTATATCACCCTCTGGATCTGCTTGAGTTCCATGCTGGTCCCAAACTAGAAAAAGAATGCTGCTATTTCTGCTCTATGGTATGGTCCTTCTTTGCTCTGTGATTGTAATTTGCTTGCTGATCCTAGGGCCATTCGATTTGGCAAAAATATTAGCTCTTAGTAGCCAGTAGCAACTTAAAGTTACTCTGAACTGATATTAGTTGCTAATAGGTACTATTCTTGCTAAAACGAAAGCCCCCCCTGACAAGCTGACATTGCTGACAAGAAGTGACTGTAAATAAAAGCTGTTTAGTTAATAAATAGAAATAAGTTGTGAAATAATCTAAAGAAAAATAGACGAGTGGTGTATAATTATGGCATCTTCTACGTCGTCTCCGGTACAGTATTAGTTAAGTAGATAGAAAATGAATCACCTCATACATTCATCTTTCCACTTTAGCCAGCGAACGTCCAAGAATTTTCTATTAGAGTACCCAAAAATGTGCAAAAGAGGTATCATGTGATGAGATTCAACGGTACGTTGGATGTCGATTTCTCAAAATGGACGAAAGTCAGCATGGAAAGAGAAAACAATCTTAAGGAGTACAAAGGAACGGAAGAGGATCAACCAAAGTAAGTGTATTTTTATATAAATTTCCAAAACATTTGATAAAAAATATTTTTGTAATGTACCACATTCTCACGACTTGATCCATTCTCCGGTTCTCCAGTGTTATTTAAATTTTAGATTTGGTGCAGGATCGGAATTCGGTAGAGAAGCAAAAGAAGAAGCCAGAAGGAAAAAGCTGGGAATTGTGGCTAGGAAATATCGAGCGGATGATCAACCTTGGATTTTGAAGTCTTTTGGTAGCACCGTAAAAAAATTCAAAGGTACAGTTACAAAACTGCAATAATTATTTTGTGATGTCATTCCCATTTTTATATTTTAGGTATACGAGAAGGAGGCGTTTCTAACAATACAGCATATTACGTCTTCACGCATGCTGAAGATGGAGCTATCGAGGCTTTTCCACTTCATGAATGGCAAATGATTATACTTTATACTTATTATTTTTTCATTTAACTCGGATTATTTTTAGGTATAAGTTTCAACCTATCCAGAGATACAAAGCGTTGTCTGCGGAAGAGGCCGAAATGGAATTCAATAAGCGTAACAAACATTTGAATTATTTCTCACTTATGCTGAGGAAACGCCTAAAAGGCGAAGATGAAACAGAATTGGAAGAAGGCGAGGAAAAAGGTAAAAAATCTACCTCCAAGAAGGAAAAGGACCTAAAAATATCCGACATGGATGAATGGATGGACACTTCCGATGAAGAGTCGTCAGAGAACGAAGAAAAGGAAGCAGAGGAAGAGTCCGAAAAGAAGAAGCCAAAGAAAAGTAATAGTGTCTTGCATATTTGTCACAATTAGAATATATTTGATTTTATAGATGATACTAAAAAGGATGGTAAAAAGAAACGTGACACTGATGTAGAAGCCTTCGAGGACTCTGATGATGGGGATGGAGAGGGACGAGAACTGGATTATATCAGCGATAGTAGCGAAAGTGAACCAGAAAATATAAACTTGGACGGTGTAGCTGAAGAAAAAGCATTGAGGTATGTATATGTATACTAAAATTGATTATACGTGTTGAGCTTTAAATGGGGGTCCTATTTATATGGAAACCACTTTTGACCTTTCGAAACACATCATGTTTTCTCAAATGTCGTGAAGACTTAATTTGTTTTTAACTTTTGCGTGTTATAATTTAATATTTCTAATATTTTTGACCATTATGTGAACAGATGAGTATTTTGGGAAATTCCCCTAAAAATTGGGATTAGTCCTAAAAAAAGCTGTCCCCACTTACGGTAACACCCTGTATGTATAGAAATAGTGTTATGTATGTATAATTATTAAATATATATTTTTTTAGAAAACTGTTGAATTCTGATGAGGAGTCCGATGAAGATTCCGAGAAATCCGAAAAAGAACAGAGTAACGAGGATGAAGAAAACAAAGAAAAGGATGGAGAAAAGAAGGAAGAAGGTGACGACAAAGATAAGAAGAAGAAGAGCAAGAAAAAATCAAAAAAGGATGTCAAAAAAGAAGTCAAAAAGGAAAAAAATGGTGAGATATATCTCGCTAGATTACAGTTCTAATTTTTATTGAATCGATAAATTTCGTTTCAGACGACGATGATGACTTTAGTTCCGACAGTAGCACCGACGACGAGAAGAAGAAGAAACCGGATAAGAAAAGTAAGAAAGATGAAAAGGAACCTAGCAGGTAAATTTCAAAATATTAATACCCGTGACGTTGACTTAAATATTTTTTGAATTAGCACTAATAGCTCTCGTTCGACGACACCTACGGATAGCAAGAGGAAGCTTATAAACGACGCACTGGCAGGACCTAGCCCTAAGAAGGCAAAATTGGACCTCCCCAATTACATTCCTGGATCAAAGTGAGTTCCATCACGTATAATAATCTGATAAAATAATTTTGTATGTTCTCTACATGAAACTTGTAATGTGCCTTTCATGGTGTTCGGATATGTTCAGGCTGCACGCGCACTTGGTATGGTCTATCATTACAAACGCCCTTTTCTCAATTTGTCAGTTTCCATTTTAGGCGTTTCTTTCCTGTCATATGCGTGCACGTGGGAAAAATGTAGATGAACGATTTTATTGTGTAGAAATATTATTTCAACTCGATGTTCCAATCAATAGGTAGAGGAGATTACAAAAAAATATGGTGATATAGGAAAAGAGATTCTAAGATAGTGATTTTTTCCTGTGGCGCATAAACGGCGAAGTTAACCTAAAAAATTCATAAAAGCCAAAAAAAATGGTTTTTTGCTAAAAAAAAAGCTTGAACTCCAATTGAAAAACTTACATGAGAAAGTTGTAACTATTAAAAAAACCTATCGATTCGATTTTTAAATATATCGATTGCTATATTACTTTTCGGTATATATCGAAAAAAACGTCACAAATCGACTTTTTTTGTTTTTGCTATATCTCATGTAAATTAAAGTTTTGAAACTTGTTACTTGCCTTTTTTTAAATTAAAATATAATCAAAATTTTTCGAGATATCGATTTTTCGATAAAAGGTAATCTCGAAAATCAGCTCTTGTTGCTCGACGAATAGTCGTAGAGAAACGAATCAGGGCTCATTTTTCCTTAAGAGTAGTACTGATGATTTTGAAAAAAGTAAAAATTTTTTGGTCGCGGTTTTCTTGAATATCTTTTTCGATTTTCACTTCTCGATAATGTCTATTACAGGAATCGATTGCCGGCATTTTTACACAATTATTAAAAAAAAGCGTTGCTCTGGAGCCAAGATAATTTTTTTTTTTCAAAAAATTCCACAGACCACTATTTAAGTACTATAAACCAGGAGAAGAAATTTAACTGGACTCTCTGAACCTGTAATAGGGGAGAGGGGCATTACACTTTCCAGGGAAGTAAAATATCTAGGAGTGATACTGGAAAATAAGCTTACCTGGAATGCGCACTTGGAAAAAGTGGTGAGTAAGGCGAAGCAGACATTGTGTGTATGCCGTCGCCTTATTGGGAAAACCTGGGAACTGAAACCAAAGATGTCACACTGGTTGTATACGTCGATAGTAAGACCCAGGATTCTTTACGGCGCTGTGGTATGGTGGCAGAAAACACAACAGACCACAGCGAGGGAAAAACTGAATAGAATTCAGAGATTGGCCTGTTTAGGTATAACGGGGGCGATGGCATCGACCCCGACAGCTGCACTAGAAGTCATGCTAAATCTGCCACCGCTGCATATAGTGGTGGAAAGAGAAGCGCGGCTAGCAGCATATCGACTCAGGAATAACAATGACTGGAGGGGTGGTTCCCACTCCAGGATCATAGACACATCTATGTCGGAACCAACTCTTGGGATGGTATCCGACAAGATGGTTCCAAGGTTTCACTTCCACAAGCCATTTGAGACTCGAATAGAGGATCAAAGCAAGTGGGAGGAAAGGTTTAATACCCTGGAAAGGTGGAGCCTAGTATGGTTTACAGATGGCTCCAAAATGACCAGAGGGACGGGTGCAGGAATATATGGACTCAGACCCAGATGGAGTGCAAGCTACAGTCTGGGGGAGTTCCCTACTGTATTCCAAGCAGAAATCTTCGCGATAATGGCGTGTCTGGCAGAGAATGTACGTAGAGGTTATAGACGTAAACTCATGTATATATTCTCTGATAGTCAAGCTGCAATTAAAGCTTTAGCCGCACACAAGGTAAGTTCAAAACTGGTGTGGGACTGTTTACAAATGCTGACTGAACTGGCCACCAACAATACAGTCAGACTGTGTTGGGTGCCAGGGCACAAAGGCATTTGTGGAAATGAGAAAGCGGATGAACTTGCTAGGAAGGGACCCGAGACAGTGTTCATTGGCCCGGAGCCCTTCTGTGGCACATCTCCCAGTGTGGTCAGGCGGGCTCTGGGCAAATGGACAGAGACAGAACATAGGAAATACTGGACTTCAAGGCCAGGACATAGCCATTCTAAGGAGCTTATGGAGTATCCTTCGAAGGGAAGAGCGAATGAGCTACTGAGCTTGAATAGAATCCGGCTCAGGAGAGTGACAGGACTCATAACGGGACACTGTCACTTTAGGAAACATCTACATAAACTAAAGCTTGTAGACAGTCCGATCTGCCGAGGATGTGAATCGGCGGATGAAACTTCTCTGCATATCCTGGGCGAGTGCCCGGGATTTGCACGTAGCAGAATGGCACTCCTTGGGAGACCCTATTTGGAACCCAAAGAACTGAGAGAAGTGTCAGCAAGGAAGCTTTTGGACTTTGTAAAAAGGACAAATCTACTTGCTGAATAGGACTAATTAGGCCGCAGTGCTATGGGACTTTTAAAGGACCAACCACTAGATGAAGATGAAGATGAAGTACTATAACGTCCATTCTTACAGAGATTGAAGTGGCAGACTTATATTTTCAATAAAAAAATACTGTGGTTCATTTAGCCACTTTTGCATTTTTAATTGTGCGTCAAACTGAAGCATTCGAGCGCTGCGCGAGCTAACTGTAGCGGACGGCGGAGTGGGGGTAATGCTACCCGGCTGCTCCAAAAACTGAATTCGCTCGTTCAAAAGCACTCTTATTTTCAAAATCTTCATTATCTCGACTTCTGGACCACGTACAAAAATTTTTTAGTACTTAATTTGGGGTAGCTCGTCTAGATAAAACAAAATTATATACATAATATAAATATTAGAAAATGCCAGCAATCGATTCCTGTAATAGACATTATCGAGAAATGAAAATCGAAAAAGATATTCAAGAAAAACGTGATCAAAAAATTTCTACTTTTTTCAAAATCATCTTTGGACACTTGAAATGAATAAAATCATTATCACTATTTTTTACCATGAAAGTACAACTTTTAAGGAAAAAAATGAGTCCTGATCAGTTTTTCTATGACTATTCGGAGAGCAAGAAGAGCCGATTTTTTTCGAAAAATCGATATAAAATGGGACTTTTTTGGCTTGCCGAGCGCTACATTTACAGCAAGTAACAAGTTTCAAAACCTTAATTTGCAAGAAATACATCAAAAACAAAAAAAGTCAATCTTTGACAGTTTTTTTCGATATATCTCAAAAAGTAATATAGCAATTGATATATTTAAAAATTGAATCAATAGGTTTTTTTAATAGCTACAACTTTCTCATGTAACTTTTTTCGATTGGAGTTCGTTTTTTTTTATTAGCAAAAAACCGTTTTTTTGACTTTTATGAATTTTTTAGGTTAACTTCGCCGTTTATGTGCCACAGGAAAAATACACTATCTTTCTTAGAATTTTTTTTCCTATATCACCATATTTTTTGTTTCCAGGAGGTATTTTTTGTATATTTAACATAAGGCCATGACAGATTGATTGCATTACAATAGACAAAGATTGTAGTTAAACACAGAAATACTAGTAAACACTACTAAATTGTACAAACGGGCGTAAAAACATGGAAAATTACGGCTCTGGATTGACATTTAATCTAGGGACCTAGTTGGTGATTTTTTCCTGATTATTTCTGAATTACCAACTTAAGAAAATCAAATTTACTGAACGCCAGAACAAATTTGGTCACGAGGGACCTGGGCATTTATGAAGACACATTATCAATAATTTTTACGAATGGAGATGGCGTATGTGTATATCCTTTTCTTGGATTATACGCCCCTACGTGATAAGAAGGATGATATTAGCAAAAAAGTTTTTTGAATGTTATCAAAAACCTAGAGTTTTTGTTTTATGAACAGAATTTATCTTTAATTTTAAACATATTAGTTACACTGTAAAATAATATCATTGTCCGTCGTGTTAAATAAGGTCAGAAATATGCATTCAATCTTTTTCTTTAGCGAATCTGGAATTACGGAAGACGCCGTGCGAAAGTATCTCATGAGGAAGCCGATGACGACCACAGAGTTGTTGCAAAAATTCAAATCCAAGAAGACAGGGCTGTCTTGCGAGCAGCTCGTCAATATCATGACTCAAATTTTGAAGAAAATCAACCCCGTCAAACAGACACTGAAGGGGAAGATGTATTTATCCATAAAGTCGTAAATTATAGTAGTATATAGATATTATGGTATCTGGTCAATAGATTGAAATAATTAATATTTTTTTTAAGAAATAATCAGTTTATATATGTATTATGTGCACTTTAATCTTAAATCCTAAAATTAGAGATGAGTCTCGAAATAAAAATTGATTTACTCCTGTTTTGGAATTTATTTGTGTACTGTACCTATTAACCTTCCCAGGGAGGTAAAATACAACAGAAGACTGAAAGAACCGATGAACCCTAAGATTAGTGAAGATTTTTCAGGTAAGTATCACTTCGATTTTTAATTCGATATTTAATATATTGGTGACATTTGCATAGCTTGTTTTCATATGGAACAAATAATTTGAATTTTTTTCAATTTAAAGAAAAAACCAAAAGAAAATGAATTGAGTATAGCAATATATTTTAAAAACTGAATATCCGGCTCGAAGGACCAAAAAAAATGTATCCAATTCTTATAATTAATATTTCCAAAGGTTTAAATCTTGGAAAAAAAAGAAACAAAATGAGTGTGAGACAAACTACCAGGTTTTCGTAGTTTAATGGTCTCAGCCAGTTTGTTCATAGCTTAAGTATTAGAAAAGGATTATCACTATGAAAATTGTTGGTTTACAAATCATTTAAGCGGTTTTTATAATTATACAGGGTATTAATTAAGTGTGTACAATAGATTCATCAGTCGATTATTTGAGTGATTTTAAGACAAAAAGTTCATATGAAGATTGGTCCGCAAATGCTTCGTTTTCAAGATGCAGGGTGTTAAACTTTTGTAAAAAAATTTCTATTTCGTAAATATCTTAAATACCCTTTATCCAATTTTGTTGTAATTTGGCGGTGTTATTGCATATACTTTGGGGGTTACAGCTACATCAAAGTTCATATAATTTTTCCTGAATTCATCAATATGACTTACAAAAACAGCTGTTAACAACTTTATGAAACAATTAACAAACTTAGCACAATTTAAACACGTGAAATTGGCCAAAATATCGATATTTTTAAGCAATGCATTTCCTGCAAATGTTGGGCTTCCATAAGTACATTGGCTCTGAACGTTGCATTTATTCAACTGATTGATTGAAAATTGAATGTAATTCTATACAATTGAATTATTAATTTTGCTATAAATTATGTTTGTACCATTATAATAAATCTACTTTTTGTTTTGTGTATATAAAAGAATAAAACATTTAATATATATACTGGCTTAATAGTTTTCGCTTTGTTAAAATAACTTACAACTCTCTTTTTGATTTTTGAAGTAAAATTTTTAGTTACCTACATGAAAAATATCAAATTTCTTATTTTGCCATCGGAAAAAAAAGCGCTACACCAAATATTTTGGTTCAGGGCTTAAAATTATGTTCAAGTTTTGTAGAAACAGGATATCTTAGTATTTTGGAGCGACTCGAAAATTTCATTTAAATTCGCTCAGAAGCACTGTGTATGACCATAAAAAAATTTTTCAATTGCCCGTTTTCCCGCTAGCACTCGCTGAAGGTGGTTAAATTTAAAATTTTCGTACAAAATAAAGATAGATGCGTATTTGTCTTTTTGGGACGCTGAAACCGAAAATGACTACAAAAAATGAATTTAACCCCTCTCTTATCCGCTAGCACCCCTTTACCGCCCCCTGAAGGGGATTGAATTTGAAACTTCTATACAAAATGAAGATGTGTTTATTTTTTTTTTTTTTTGGGACGCTAAAACCAAATTATGATTTCTGTCCTAATCATAACCGTGTTTATTTTACCTTTTGATATTTTGAACTTGACACCTTATTCTAGACAAGACATTTTAATTTTTTTTCCGTTTGCATTTTGTTTTCTCTTTGATTTTAATGTTTTTACTCTTCACCGACCAGTCTTATTTACGTTTAAAAGATGAATCTAATTCTATGCCTCTGGAATGGAATCGATTCCCTATCTACTTTTGCGACTAAGACACCTCTACATGGTGATGGCGCATAACAGTTTAACTGGCTTAGAAAATCGTTTGAAAGCAAGAGAGTTCGGTATCATAGAAAGAGGTAAATGCCGAATCGTGAGAGGCAAGGGGACTTGCGTTAATCAAGCATCCTGAATCGTGAGAGGCAAGGGGAATCACGTTAATCAAGCACCCCGAATTGTGAGAGGCAAGGGGACTCACGTTAATCAAGCACCCCAAAGGGAACAGAAATCTACCACCTCCACGACGTTGTTCCTGGGTTGCGCTAAGAGTTGAACCAAATCGTAAATACATCTGAGAACTGATATCTCTGATCAGTGAAGTATTGACGTTCACAACATAGGGGCTGGAGGTACGTTTAAACTTGTCTAATTAACAGGTAACTGACTTTGGAACGTTGGAATTTTGAGTGTCGAGTCCATGAAACTTTGGTTCTCCTCTGTTTTCCGAAAACGTTAGCGCAATTTACCGAGAGCCAACTTTCATATGGATTCTGCTGGTTCTTTTAAATGATTGCAAAGGAGTGGAATGGGGTGATCGAGTAAGTGGGTATCATTTTTTTGTAGTCATTTTCGGTTTCAGCGTCCCAAAAAACATAGAATTACGCATACATCTTAATTTTGTACGAAAATTTAATTTAACCCCCCTTCAGTGGGTGCTTGTGGGAAAACAGGCAATTGGAATCATTTTTTATGGTCATATTCGGTTTCAGCGATCCCAAAAACCCAAGAATGGTTTATGACATTTTTTTTTGTGTGCCTGTATAATATTTACTTAAATTTAAAATAAGAACATTTATGACACAAATATGCATATATTTAAAGCAAAAATTCTTCAAATTCTTTATTACTAAACAACTAAAAGAAACAAAATATCAATTCTCTATAACAAAAAAGAAAACATAAAACGAGTTCTAATTAAATTTTATAAAAATAAACTAAAAAACTGAGCTCAGAAAGGAAAAAAGGAATATATTCAATTGACACTGAGCCACTTGCTCTTATGTTTTTGAATATCCTGATTCTAAAAGCAAAGCTCTTTGTTATCCTGAACTGATTCAAAATATGTATATTCTAAAAGCGTAGATGTTTATTTTATTTGATTTATTAAAATAATTTCTATTCCATATTGGCAATAAAGAACTCGTTACGTCCTAAACTCAACCACTTTTTTCATTTTCTTGTGGAGAATCTGCGGAATGGGACCCTTGACATGTCGAGCCACTCACGATTCCGAGTTAAAGAAACTAGACAGTCCGACTATACATATATTGGGATCTTGGAAAATATAATAAAAACGTTTAAATGAGGAAAGCTTGAGACATTCTATCAACTTAATGGCTCTCACAGACTGACTCTATTTGAGTTTTCAAGTTACTTTTAGAAAAAAAAATTAAATTTCTCATGAATTTTTTCAAAAAATATGCTAGACAGGTTTTCAAAGTTACAAGTCTAAGAAGCCATTATCATTTTCATTTCAATTTTATATTATTGAGAGTGCCGCTGAATCATTGAAGCTTCCATGATATAATAATAATAATATTAATAATAATAATAATAACTTTATTTTTCCTACAGGTTACAACCAATTACAGGAAAAGCTAAACAAATTATAAATATATGGTACTACTTTGTAAAATGTAATCAACATCTACGAAACAGCTATAAATTTACATTAAATTTTTCATCGTACACACGAATTATTTGGACTAAACTATCAAAATGAAGGTCACACAAAGATGATATAGAATTAAAAATAGTGCATGCATTAAAAATATGTGATTTTCTCATTACATTAGTATTTGCAAAATCACCATAAAAGGTAACATTATGCCGAGTTTCTATCCTTGGAACAAATAAATTTAATTTTTCCAATAGAGCAGGGCAGTCGATTCTATAGTTTATTAAATTATAAACAAAAGCAATTGCTGAACAATTTCTTCTAAGCAATAATGACTGCAATTGGAAAGCTTGATATCTCATAAGTATACAAAAAGACCCAGCACAATCCTTTTGGAAAATGGCTTTTGGCAAATTTTTTTGAAACTTTGTTGTGATAATTCTGATCGCTGGATCAAAAGTCTCAATGGGCACAAAGTCTGACTCCTATTTTGGTCCTACATCCCCTGAAAGTTGAATTTTTTGCCCTTACGCTGCATGGTAAGAACACAGCAATGATTATATTTGTAAAATTTTATTATATTCATAGTAAAAGGACCTTGCCCGATCGATTAGAGATGTTTTCAACTTCTGATTCTGAGCAGAAGTTCTGACATTTCAATAAGAAACAAAGAAATTTTATTTTGAAATAAACTTCTTAGTAAATATCATTTTATTTAATTTAAAGTATATTAAACATTTTTAAAGAATAAAGTGCAATCTTTGGGATATACAGGGTGTTAATGATAAGTTTTGCCAAACTTTAATGGCATATTCTACCGATGAAAATAATCAAGTTGCCTTATAAAAATTTTTGATAGGACGTTTCCCTACGGAGATACAGGGTGTTAAAAGTTTCACCCTGCTAAAAAAATGTCATCCCCCAAATTTTATTACTAAATATTTTTTGCCAGTGAAGTTACAGGAAGAATCATATAAATATTTGAAACTTTTAACACCCTGTATCTCCAGAGGGCAGCGTCCTATCAAAAATTTTTGTAGGGCAATAGTTGATTAATTTCATCGTCAGAATATGTCATTAAAGTTAAAGTGACAAAAGTTATTAACACCATGTAGTAATTTAAATTCAACTCAAACTGTATCCTCAATAAAATGTTCATCTTTAATTTGTCTGTCAAGTTTTTTCTGTATAAATAAATTCTTTTTCTCTAGTTCACTTTCTGATTTATTCTGAATTTTATGTGTAATAATCGTAACCCAGTCACTGAAGTCTTGCACTCTTCTCACATATTCCTCACAATCAAAGGAAGCAAGTAAGTCCAGCTGTTGAGAAGATAGAATATGCTCATTGACGGTCATATTTTGCAATTTCTTCTTCTCACTGAAACAAAATTTATTATGTATCTATATTGTGAATTAATTAAATTTCGTTAGCTTACGATTTGAACTTATTTATCTCTTCTAAAGTTCCTCTTACATGCATTTTCCACTTTTCAATTTCAGTCATCACATTTTCAACGTATTGTATAGGGTAATGAAGCTCGGTCTTCTTTTCTGGAAAACTTAATTTACTTTCGTGTTCATTTTTCGGCTTCTTGCTTTCTTTCTCGTGGTCGTCAAATATCGACCTCCTACGTACTCTAAGTAAATTATCTCGGGACATACTTTTTATATAAACCTTTTTAATCGTAAATACTTGTAATTAATTAGTTAATGTCTAAACTAAACGTCTATTTTATTTAGTTTTGTTTATTTTGTTTACATTTGTAGGTTACGTCGTTTTTAAATACAAGCCAGAAAACCGTTAAGAGTTAAGTTTTGAGTTTTGTTCCGTGGTCCGTGGTAGTCTTTATAACTTTGTGGATATTAGAGATGAGAAATCTTGCTCATTTTGCGAGACAGCCAGGATCAAGAAACGAAGACAACGACACACACACATACACACCCCCCATACCCTCCCCTCCCGCGCTAGCCTAAGGGCCACCTTAGCAAAGCGCATCCCAGGCTGCATAGCCGCACTACCCTACCCAACCATACCACACATAAACATGACACTACCCCCGGGGTTTACACAGACGAGCCGGCGAAGCAAGAAGAGCGCCAGAAGAAAGGGCCCTAGCCGGCGGGGCCCAGCCAGGACAAAAGGAGGTCCCACAAAGCGCCTACACCGGCCGCATTTGCGGTCGGGGTAGACGACGGATGGGGCCCACCTACGAAGGCTGTCCAGGCCTACACGAGATGAGGCAGGATAAAGAGGGATAATCCCCCTCGATCCCAAATCATTGAGGCCAATTTCTAGCCATAGAATAATGGCGCGCTCATTTTGCTGGCCCAGTTCACCGATGCCAAATCTTCGTAAGATCAATTGAGCGGATCATTTACTAATAAATCGATAAGGTTAATAATAGCTTCGTTTCTGCAGCAGTTGAGGACCGATTTGAAACTATCAGAGATGTATGACCAATTGGATCGTGACCTAAAACCCGCTGAAAGTATGTGACAACTTAAGTGGCCGAGTATATCTGATAGTTTGAAGACAGTTTGATAGAGCTGCAGAAACAAACCTAATAAAATAATAGTAATGAGTTATCCCCACTGATTATTGACCATGAAATACCTAGTAAGACGCCACTTCAGAGCAGTGCCTGTTCTTTAGAAACAGTCTTTACTCGGAATACCCCCTGACCGTTAACCTTTTCCGTTTCAGAAACCGCCAGGATCAGGAAACGAAGACAACGACACACACACATACACACATACACACCCCTCATACCCTCCTTACCCGTTCACTCCCGCGCTAGCCTAAGGGCCACCTTAGCAAAGCGCATCCCAGGCTGCATAGTCGCACTACCCTACCCAACCATACCACACACAAACAGGATACCACCCCCGGGGTTTACACAGACGGGCCGGCGAAGCAAGAAGAGCGCCAGAAGAAAGGGCCCTAGCCGGCGGGACCCAGCCAGGACAAAATGAGGTCCCACAAAGCGCCTACACCGGCCGTATTTGCGATCGGGGTAGACGACGGATGGGGCCCACCTACGAAGGTTGTCCGGGCCTACACGAGATGAAGCAGGATAAAGAGGGATAATCCCCCTCGATCCCAAATCATTGAGGCCAATTTCTAGCCGTGGAATAATGGCGCTGTTCAAGGAACAGAAACAAGGAAAATAATTTAAGAACTACCTACTTTTTAATAAATTTATTATGACCATTATTCATTATTGGCTATTAGTCCATTGAAAAGTTACATTTGGGGTTGCAAAAGTCAGAGCACGCAATTTTATTTTTTGGTTGTCAAGAAGGGATTAGTGAAAAGTCCATCCATGTTTGTGGGGTCGCAACCCTTGTGCATCGGCCGCCATCTAAAAAGGGCTGCGAATGGTTTTTACTACTACTTACTATATCGGGCAAACTATTTGTCGCACAGAAAATTTGTAAATATATTTTTTGTTGAAAATTAAATTCTCTACAAATTTGTTTCTGTAACTTTTAGTCGTAGAATAAAAAATAACAAAGTTATTAACGATAATAGATAAAAATTTGGGAACGAATTTTCTTTTGGTCGTTATAACTTTTTTTCTGGTCATTTTACAAAAAAAATTACATGTGAGCATTTTGATAGAGGGGTTTCAAGGAATAATTTCCATTACAAACTTTTTCAAATTTTATTTATATATTAGGGTTTTACAGCGACGCGAAACTTACACTATTCTCCATTCTCTCTGTTCATATTAATGTATACTTACTAATAAGTATACATTAATATGAATGATTAGGCATAGGAGGTGTCCTTCAAAGTTTTCTTCCAGTTGTGCTACCACGTGCGTGCGTGACGTATTTAATTATGAAAAGTATTTTGAGTTTTGTGGACACTATTTTGAATTTTGTGGACAAGAGGTGGGTTTCAGTGTCGACCAAGCAGAATCAGATGCAGATACCCTCATCGTTCGCTCCGCTCTTGCTGCATCCCAATCGTTCGACTCAGTCATTCACCCGCCTCCCCCGACACAGACATGACTTAAACGTACTTAACAGACGGGTGAAGGCGGCTCTGGATGAACTGGCCCAGGATAACTGGGCTAGGCACCTGGAGTCGCTGGATCCACAAGACAACAGCCTCTGGAAAACGCAGAGGGCCCTGCGACAGACCGCTCGCCGTAAAATTCCTCCAATCCACGGTAGTGTGGGGGTGGTTTACACGAACCAGGAAAAGGCTGAGGCTTTCGCCGATAGCCTGGAACTGCAGTGTAGACTGCCTCAGCTGCCCGACGAAGACGAGGAATTCGAGATAGTGGCTGAGCGCGCGGCCCGACGCGTCGACAGAGAGCCAGACAATGACATAATCCCCCCCGCAACACCTGACGAACTAAGACTGACAATACGCAGACTTAAAAACAGAAAAGCCCCCGGACCCGACAATATACATAACACGACACTTAAACGACTACCACACAAGGGCCTCATGGCCCTACTAAACATAACAAACGCGACACTCAGACTAAGACACTTCCCTACCCGCTGGAAAACAGCAAACATAATCCTTATCCCAAAACCCAACAAAGATCACACCATCCCATCCAACTACCGGCCCATTAGCCTGCTCCCGGCTATGAGCAAAGTGGTAGAAAAAATTATCCTAACCCGTCTAAGAACCCACTCCCAAGAACTGCAAGTCATTCCAGACGAGCAGTTCGCCTTCCGACCCAATCACTCCACTGAACTCCAAATCCTTCGCCTTACCGAGCACATCACGGCGGCCTTCAACAGGGGACAGTACACTGGTGCTGTCTTCCTGGACGTCGCAAAGGCCTTCGATACGGTTTGGCATGAAGGCCTACTGATGAAAATGCTCACCAACCAATATCCCATATCCTTTACCAAACTCATAAAATCCTACCTACACCACCGAAAATTCCGCATCCAAATCCAAGATTCCCTTTCCACCACCCGTCCCATGGAGGCCGGTGTCCCCCAGGGCACCGTCCTGTCCCCACACCTATACACCATTTACAACTCCGACATCCCACATCCCCCCAACACCAACATATACTTATACGCCGACGACCTGACAATCACATCCCAATCCGTAGATCCTAGATATTCCGTCTCCCTCCTCCAAAACTCCTTAGACCAACTTGAAACCTGGTGCAACAGGTGGAAAGTCAAAATTAATCCCAACAAAAGTTCGGCTATCCTTTTTACCAAACGAAAAATCCCACAAAACCTCGACAGACTGACACTATCCCAGGAACCTATCTCCTGGAATCGACAAACACGATACCTGGGCGTGACGATGGACCAGCGTCTCACGTGGAAACCGCACATCGTGGAGACGGTGGCGCGAGCGAAGACCACCAGGGCTAGGCTCTATCCCTTACTCAAAGGTGGAAACACCCTCAGTTTAAGGAATAAGCGAACGCTTATCAAGGTGGTACTTCAACCGCAGCTAACCTACGCCTCCACGGCGTGGGGTCACGCGGCAAAAAGCCACTTAAAGTCATTACAGGCTGTGGAAAACATAGCCCTCCGCACGGCCACCGACGCGCCCTGGTACGTAAGAAACACTGACATATTACGAGACTTACAATACACAAACGCTACACAGACAATAAGACAAAACGCGGAGAAACGATTTGACGTAGCCGCTAGACATGACAATCCCCTCCTCAGGCAAGCCGTTGACTACGTACCCGACGTGACCGACAAACACAAAAGACCTAGACACCAACTTTTTGACCCTGGGTGACCACCCCAATGACCCCCCCCCCTGCCCGCTAACCTTTTCTGTTTCAGAGACAGCCAGGATCAAGAAACGAAGACAACGACACACACACACACACATACACACCCCCCATACCCTCCTTACCCCTCCCCACCCGCGCTAGCCTAAGGGCCACCTTAGCAAAGCGCATCCCAGGCTGCATAGCCGCACTACCCTACCCAACCGTACCACACATAAACATGACACTACCCCCGGGGTTTACACAGACGAGCCGGCGAAGCAAGAAGAGCGCCAGAAGAAAGGGCCCTAGCCGGCGGGGCCCAGCCAGGACAAAAGGAGGTCCCACAAAGCGCCTACACCGGCCGCATTTGCGGTCGGGGTAGACGACGGATGGGGCCCACCTACGAAGGCTGTCCAGGCCTACACGAGATGAGGCAGGATAAAGAGGGATAATCCCCCTCGATCCCAAATCATTGAGGCCAATTTCTAGCCATAGAATAATGGCGCGCGACTCAGTCATTATCGTCGCCGAAGATATCGACATTCTTGTCTTGTTCACGGCATTTGGAAGAACACATTCAAATGTATTTTTTTTTAACCATCAAAGGACGTACAGCCGAGCAATTATATTGTTCGTCAAGTTTTATGTACGGAGACGTCATTGTGGATAATCTGTTGTTTCTCCATGCCTTCTCAGGATGTGACACGACTTCAGCAGCTTACGACATCGGTAAAATGAAATTTTTCACAACCCTGGAGACACGTCCTGAGTTAGCTAGTGGAACAGCATTATTTCTCAATGAGAGAGTCGACCTTACTTTGCTCACTGCCGTTGGCGAACGTTTTTTCATCTCTTTATATGGTGGCAATAAAGATGATGATTTTCTTGACAGTCTTAGATATAAACGATTCGCCAAATCAGTGACAAAGAATACAATTACAATTGTCTTCACTTCCTCCAACACAAGACACAGCCCGCTTGCACAGTATCCGAGTCTATCATCAGGTCCAGTCGTGGCTCGGGAATTACAACGACCCTCAAGA